ATACATGTAAATATTTTCAAAATATATACTGTATGTGCGTGTATTTATGTATACATAATAAATATACACAGTACACATACATATATTATGTAAACAAAAACGTTTATTTTGGATGCGATTAATCACGATTAATCGTTTGACAGCACTAGTACAAATACATATGAATACTAATAACATTAGTCTATAAAATGACACTGACTAGAGATTGCATTTTGCTTATTGCTTATTTCAGTTTGTTTTTGTCACTTTTTTACTTATGTAGAGGGAGATATTATTAGTGTTTGCAGGTGTTTGTGTGGGCTTTATTATTCTCCATACTCCCAAATGTACTGCAACAAAATACTTACCCTTTGATTAAAGAAAACAACTGCTATTCTGCAAAACCATTCTATTCTGTTCTATTCTATTCTATTCTGTTTAGGAAGATTCTACTACACTATATTCAATCCAAAATTGAAATAAAGTGATACCATCTGAATCCCCATTGTGCACAGCCTGACTGAGCAGTGCATTTCAGTGTATTTCAGCGTGACTGTGTAATTAATGGTGGATAGATGACTCAGAGTGCACCCAGGAGCCAGTCATCTCCAGAGATACATGTTATGAGTCTTTTCGCTGCTATAAACTGAAGGGATGCCCTTAGGTAGTTAAGTTGCTTTGCTGTATATTGTAAGTACAATGATCAGACAGTGAAAGTCTAATTGCATTAGGTTTGGGGGGAAAAACACTCACAATTGTGAAACCATAGCTAACTAAAACTGTGGAGTAAAACTGGTCTTGAAAATATTACAGCAATTGTAACTTAATGGTTGGAGATTGAAATGTATCACTATTTTTAGTTGGAAGTTGTCTTGGGTGGTAAATGCACTTAATGATAGATTCATTACCTGGTTCCTGTGGAGTTTCCTCTGTTTTGGCGGTTGGAGGAACCTCCTCCTGTCTTGAAACTTTCTGGAGCTGTGCCTCAGATCCGGAATCTGCCTCCTCTCTCCTTGCCTTAACTTCAATCACACCTTCTTGAGTCTTTGCTACTTCCTGTTCTTCCTCTTCCTGTTCTACTTCATCCATATCAGCCACACCACCATCTGTACCCATCTGTGCTGTTACTGCCTGCCATTCCTCTTGACTATGCTCTGATTCCGTAGCCCATTGTGTATCTTGCCTTTTCACAGATTCTTCTTCTTGTGGTCCTTGTACTTTAACCTCTATTGACACCTCTACTTTCTCTATTTCTCCTTTTGCAGTCTTTTCCTCCATCTCAGACAACTGAGCCTCTTTCTCAGTGAATCCCTTTTCTGGGTCTTCTACATCTTCATCTTCAGCCTCCTCGCTTCCTTTGTTCATTTTCACAGCTCCTCTTCCTGATTCGTTTTCTTTTTGTGTGTCAGGATACCACTGGGCAGGTGATTCCTCTGAATGGCTTTCCTCAGTCATTGGTGCACCCACTTCAGCAATGTCAGCGTCTTGCAAAACAGATTCTACTGGTTCCTGAACTGAATCTACTGCCTCAAGGACCAGCTCCACTGATTTCTCTTCTGATTTCTCTTCTGACTTTGAAATTGATGACTTGGCCAGTCCTTGAATCTCCTCTGCAGGCTCTATATCTTGAGTCAGTCCTTCTTGACCTGGTTGCTCAGATGTCTGTTCACTTGATTCTGACATAAGGACATCTGGTTCTCCTGCAGTGAGCACCACTGCCTCCTCTTTAGCTGCTTCTTCTGTTGTATAATCAGCTGCGGTCTCGACCGCTGGTGACTGCTCTGCCTGAGTCTTCTGTGGTGCGAGTTCACCTACAACCTGCTCCAAGGCCTCGCGTACGGCACCGGTTGTCGAGATCTGTACCGCCTGCTCAAAGGCTGCCTTCACTGCATCAATCATTTCACCCAGGCTTGGTGGGGCCGGCTCGGGGTCAGGGGAGGGGAGAGCATCATCTGTGCAAAGCAGCAAAGACAACTCGAGACTTTAGAGCAGATTTGACCAGGTCAACATCGTCAACCTGCTAATGTGCAGCAGGGTCACATTTCATCTCTCTTTCTGTGAGGATGAATATATGAGCACCAGAGTTGGGCAAAATTGGCTACATTTCAGTTTATGAGCTGGAATTTGGATTATCTATCTATCTATCTATCTATCTATCTATCTATCATCTATCTATCTATCTATCTATTTATCTATCTATCTAGACGTTTTAAAGTTACAATGAAGCATAAGTACCGATATATATTTTCTTATATTTATTTTGTGACGCACATCCAAGTGTTTTCGGATTTTTGAAAAAGAAAAAAATGTACGGCGGGAACTGGTTCTATACATCGATTGTAGATTGGCATACATCACCAGAGAGAAATTGTTATAGAAATTGAGCTATGATATTGGATTAAACGTTAAGAGGACAAAACAACAACAACATGGATGATTCGTTCACAAAAATATCTACAATATGCATTTATAAAATAGGTGTGTTTTTCTTAATTTCGACTTTAAGCTTGCTTTCAAACTCAAAGGCTTTATCAAGCCAGCATTCAAAGTGTATTTTGACAAAATTAGGTTAAAATATGAATAAAATAAAATAAAATAAAATAAAGTATATGTATTTCCACTTCGTTATATTCAGGCGGTCTTTGCTACCTCAGTTAATATTCAGTTTAAAATCAGGGATTTGATTATAATTTAAATGGCATTCTCAGTCAGTACACAGTGCCAGGAGGGTCACTGGAGTCCACAGTTAAAAGCTAAAGCCTTTAACAAGCCTTTAAGTCAAATATCATACTTTTAAGATCCAATTAATTTTGTGATGACAGTCAGACTTACAGTAGCTTTACACTTTCTCTAAGGTAACAATTGTTTTCACTTTTGTTATTGCAGCTTCTTAAAATGGTGATTGAATGTTGTGACTCTGCACGCATTATGAGCTCTGTGTCTGAATATACTCATAAGAATCCATCAGAAGCTAAGAGACTTACTGAACTTGTATACTGTATGTTTGGAAACAGAAATGGTAGACTTTTAAAAATGTAAAAAGAATATTAGTTGAATAATTAAACAGGAAAGTACTGTAGCAACTATTTATTTACTTTCTGTGTAACTTATTTTGTCAGAGACATCTTCAATTTAGGCTTTGGTTTTCATAGCAATTTTCAAAGGAATGTGAAATAGATTTGTGTGAATTCCCGTGGAATGTGAGATCTCACAGTTGTTCTGCATGAAGGTGTTGCGGTGCTGGGAAATAGTGATTGAATCACTTTTATAGACCTGAAATGAAGAAGCTAATGGGATCTCAGTCTTGAGTCTATAGAGATATTAGTTTGTTTGTACTACAGCCAAACTCAAGCTGAGGCTGCCAGTGCTGTGGTTACCAGTCAGCCTCGACAAACTGATTTGAAGTTGTTATTGGTTTCAGTTGTGGTTGATGTTGAAAATTGGGTTTTAAGCCAATCAAATGCAAAACTGCCTTTGGAATGACCAGGAAAATTGATTATGCAGATAACACTTTAGACATTGATTTTCAACCTTAGACACAGTCCATGAATCAGTGAAACATACTGACATCTAATGCTGACTCAACATAGATCAAGCTATTTTGCCCTGAGAGTAATTCCCTAAGAATATCGTATCCTTTTTCCAGTCTTTATATAGACTTTGTAATCTGATTCCTAAGCATCTGCTTTCAAGCACAATTTCACAGTGTCATTAAAGGAAAAGTTACTATACCTTGTGCCTGGCAAAGATGAAACAACAGCATCACTAACAATCCATTATGAGAACACAGCCCCATGGTGCAAATTCACAGATGTCCAAATTGGGCTTCTTTTTGAAGGGTCTATTTGTTGGTGTGTGTTTTTTTTTTTTTTAGTGTGTTGGAGATGGATGAGGGAATAAGCTGGCTCCAGGTGTGTTGAACTAAAAAGCGGAGGTCTCTGGACTGGGATCCTCGATCTCCCTTTGAATTGGCGTCAAGAACAACAAGGATTTGCCCTCGTCTGGAAAAGTCACAATGCTTTGCAGAATGCTGTGTGGAATCCTCGAAGCCACGACGACATGTCTCACTCATGTAGTAATTAAGGCCTACCTGTGAGTTTGTCAGGGCAGAACATCAGGGCAATAGATCCATTCAAAACGAAGAGAACATCATCATGGAGATCTCATCCAGTGAGGATATCAATGTGAGTTGACAAATATTTACATTAATTAATTTTTCAAACACTTTTATCCCAAGCAAACCGCTGCAAATTTAAGACTTCATATGTTTTATCAGTATACATGCCGAATCAAACCCATAACCTTCGTGTTGTGCTACAGGGAAACTATTCCTATTGTCGGATGTTGACATTTATATTGACAGACATGTCTTGGACTGCCTTGTCTCGTGCCACAGTTTTGTTTTGGAACTTCAGCATTTTCACTTAGACTGAGGTAATTTTTGTGTTGATCGAACAATATCTTCATAAAATGGCATAAAAACTGCAGTAACACTTTATTTTAGTAGTACTCAGTTTGTTTTTGCTTTGGTAAGCCTATATATATTGTGCATATAATGTACTGCTCATTATTTTTTTTATTTTTAGAATGCAAAAAAGTGGTCTAATGGACCCGATATATTTTGGAATATTCGTTGATATTCCATGTATCCATGTAAGATCATAAGTTCAGAAAATGTATCATTAATTCTATCTATCTATCTATCTATCTATCTATCCACGTGTATCTATCTATCCACATGTATCTATCTATCTATCTATCTATCTATCTATCTAGACTTTTTAAAGTTGCAATGAAGCATAAGTACCGATATATATTTTCTTTCATTTTGTGACGCACATTCAAGTGTTCAAGTGTCTATCTATCTATCTTTTCTTAAATCATTTAATTATGCTGAAAACCAAGATAAAAACACGCCTTTTCTTTAAAGAAAACTGAATGCACTACAGGTCATATTGACAGCTGATTATATGCACTTTTTCAATAAATAAAGATTCTTTTGACCCTGTTGTGTTATCAAAATGACTGTAATTAAAATAGTTTTGTTGATTAGGGCCAGCCAGCAGCACATGAAACTTCTGTTCACTAATGAGCAGCAGCTTGAAAGCCTCATGTGTTTTGTCTGCTGGGCTTTACTCCTTCAGTTCAAAGAATTCCTGGAATGCTTTTGCCCGAAGTGAACTGTTCTGAATGGGACCTAAAAGCAGGCATGATTTCAGTCATTAGTTTGTAATTCACATCATAACTAGTTCACATGACCATCATAGTTTCTGGGGCATTGCCCCAGCCCTGAGACCATTAACTTTTTTGTAAGAAGTTTTGTTCCTGCACTTTTTACGTGTTTCGGATAAGAGCTGCTTTGTGTTTGATAACATTCGCTCGGTCACTCACATGACAAAACTGCTCTTATGAAAGAGCTTCAGGAAGCCTTAATGTATTCCTAAAGGGAAATAGAATAAGAGGACAGACCCCAATCAGTGGGTCTTGCTGAGATCGATGATGTCATAAAGGGCACAAAGACATTAAAATAGTGTTTAGCTGCTTTGAAAATAACAAAAACTATTTGAAGCCCACCGCTGCGGACAGATACTTCTTTTTCAAGAGTTTCCCCCTGCTTTATTATTCTCTCAGGCTTTGTTGGTGCTGTGGTTCGTGACTGCACAGAGATTAGACTAGTGTAGTCTGACAGTGAGCTATGCTAATGCAGTCACATGCCGCTCACAATGTGTGTGCTAAGTCCCGGCAGGAGAGAGGCACTGTTAGCTTGTGACTGCACTGGGATTACTGAGCCATGCAACGCAAGACCTAAACACACTCATACAGCAGGAGGGAGCTGAACGTACACACACACACACACTTTGCTCGAGGCCCTGGAATTCACAAGGATAAACAATTCTTTTATTTCAGTTTCAAAGGGAATATTATCATGACACTCACTTTTTGAAGATGTTGTCATATGCGCATGGACAGTGTGATTTGAGATAAGAGATCACCATTAAAAAAACCATGGGGAATGCTTTTGGGCAGTGGCATGACACTCATTTTTGTCTTATCTATTAATTTAGCTTTAAAAATGCAATTCATGCAGTCAGTGACTTGAATATACAGTTTCTATTATCAATATTTAAATTGGGGGTTTTAGGGGGACATTAAGTCACAAATGTCAGGGTGATACAGGGTGATTTGTCCTGATATCATCATTAAGAAAAAGCCTCATTACACAAATGATTGAAAACCTTATTAATCTAACCTAACCAAATCTAGTTGTCTAATTCCTTATGTAGTTGTCTAATAAACCTGGCATTGTGTATTACAAATATTGTTGGTTCTTTGATGAATTGCTTTTGTTCTTCTTTACTAAGTGACTTTGGATAAAAGCGTCTGCTAAATGCTCATGTAAATGCATAATCCAAAAAACACACAGTTTCACAAAACTGCTTCACAGCTCATTAATATTTGAAAAACTTTTGGTGCAACCAACATACAGAAAAAAAACTCCCTAAAGCTTATAAATATATTTATAAATTAATAATTAATTAATTATAAATTAATTTTAATTTTTTTTCTGATATGGCATCGACATTTCCGCAACATTACCTGGAGCAAACTCTTAATGATGACAACATAAGTGATTTTAGGAGGACATCTGCATCTAACTTTTGAAGTTTCCTTAGGATCAAAGTGCGTGCTCTCCTTTAGCCTTCACAGCTTAATGTCAGTGTGCAAGACACTCTAGAGTCTTTACTCAAAACTGAGAGTTATACAGAGAAAGTAGGCTTGCACACATTCCTAACACCGTAATTGCAGACAGGGATCAAAATAGTTTATTCATCATCTTACAGTAGAATCCCTGTGCAAGATGCGAACAATAAGTTTTGCGTATTTTCTCGTACGATTATGAAGTTGCAGGAATTGTCAAAGAGACCAGCAAAAATGGTTTAAACACCCCAACCGTTAGTGAATACAGGGTGTGATCAAAGTCTCTCGTTTGAATCATTATGACAGCTTCAGCTAAAAAATGATTCACTATAGCGTATGCCAGCCAAGCAACTAATTATTTTGAAAATCTGACAGAGATGATGTCATGGTGCCTAAAAATGGTGGCTTTGCATGTGCCCCTGTGTGTACGTGTGCACGTGTGGAACAGAGAGAGAGGAAGAGAGGGAGAGGAGCATGTTTGATGTGGATTTCGAGGTATCTAGGACATCTTTTTAGGTCAAAACTTCACAAATTCTGTTTTCAGAAAGCTTCCATTTTTCATATGTAAATCAGCTCCATGGAAGCAACAGAAACAACAGCACCAATGATATATGCGTTATTAATATTCAAAGAGAAACTTCTCATTTATGCAGCCTTCGTTAGGAAACTTATCAAAAGAGAGAGCCAGTAACGGTAGCATTACCAGTCGACAGGCACGCTGATTTTGCTGTGTGTTTGTGAACATGTTTGTATACGCCAAAGAGAGAGATTGTTCCCAACAACAGGGATATTTTGTTGAAAGCTTTCTCTAATTTCCTGTTCACTTCAATGGTCCAATCCAATTAGGAGAATAGAAGCCTATTATTGAAACCATACCTATTTAAGGGTTTGCTTGATGTTACTTTCTCCTATCTTCTTAGCTTAGGTTTTTGGTGGTTGCACGCAAAAAAACTACTCTCTTTATTTGTCTGACCAAAGGAAGATGGGGAAACCTGTTGGAAAACAGTCATTATTTGTGCATTTTGACCATGGCTAAATGTATATTTAATGCATGAGGGCACTTGCAGGTGACTCTTAAAGTAGAATCTATACAGTTTAAATATGATGTTCTGCCATGGAGATTTATGGATGTAAATATGGATTGAAAGGTCTTAAATGTATTGATTATTATGTCATCCAAATGGAATATCATTAACTTAATACAAGTTAATTATACCTTCAGACTGAAAGCAAAAAGGTCCACTCTCACATGATTCTGGTCCAAATAAAGGATCATGATTTGGCTGGCTTGTGTAGTAACTACATAATTCTGATGCCAAAAAACATATTTTTCCATTCAGAATATATATAGGCATACATATATACATATCATATATGTGAAGTTTTTTTTTTTTTTTTTTTTTTGATAACACTGGTTCATTTAGCCGTTGCATGCACTAGCTTGGCATAGAGCTAATCGATTAAGAACATTTTCTTGATTATATGAAATGATGTTGTCTTTGAGTCCAAATAACAAAACACATATTGTTGCATATAGTTTTTTTTAAAATTATTATTATTTAAGGATGCTACTGAGGTCAAAAGGTGAAGTGCTAACTTGTTAATATGAATGTAAAAAATGCAAGACAAATTCCTGCAGCAAATTCCAAATAATTTTACTCGTTTTGTTTCTCATATTCAGTTTACTCAATAGTCGATGTGGGACAGCTTGCTCAGATTCATGGCTCCCTGTTCAGATTGCTTTATTGCCAAGGATCATGTTAGAAATCTGAGCTGTATGTAATCAATGGAACCGACACATAGATCATTAGACAATATCCTGTACTTAAATAGAGCGCTTACATAAGCATTGTATATTATGTAAGAGGGATGTCTTTATTAATATTTTATAAATGCGTGGTGGTGGTCTGTGTTTGCTGTTCCTCCTCAATTATCTGCGTCCCTTCCTTGAACATTCTCGGTGGTCCACGAGCACGCCATGAGTTCTACCGTGGGAGGGCGAGGGTGTATTCGCGATCATTATTTTAATACAGACTAAGTGTAGAGAGTGTAGAGACAGACATTCTGAGCCTGAGAGGTAGATAACTTTCGTCATTC